CTCCTGTCACTTTCCACAGACAGGAGGCTTCAGTCTGTGATTCAGAGCAGGACAAACATTACAGACTTTCCCGGCCCCTCTTTGGTCCCGGGGCTATAGTTAAGAATCACTGGGTTAGACTATTCCGTGTAGCACGACCACGCCGCGGTTACGTGCGTCTGAGTTCGCGACGCTACAAACTTTTCCAGCTGGGATTTATGAACATATCTCCGCTAACTTTTCATCAAATAACTTCATAATCATACGTTTAATAAATGTAAGCGGGTTTTCTGATTAAAGAGAGTTCTTTCCCCTCGCAGTGAGGGTGCACAGGAGCGAGGAAGAAGGAAGGCACAGTTTAAAACTCCTAATTATGACTTTTTGTGAGGCTTTTATTTTTTATTTACTGGCGGAAATGGTCTTCCATATACATATATATATAACAGGATAAAGCACACATAAATACATATTCATTGTCAATATCATATCATATTTAATATAATAGCCTACTGTCTGTTTATCATATATACAAATGGAAAAAAGTAGTGTATGCCTATATGAAGTCTAAATAATTTCGATCACAAAAGTGTAATTTTTATTTATTTTATTATTATTATTATTATTATTTAATATAGATTCAACTGTCTGGATGACAAAAATACTCATTCTTCACAAGAAAGGAAAATGTATATGCCATGAGAACTAGGGTAGGGTGACGTCCTCTTTTTCCCGGACATGTCCTCCTTTTGGAGGACTAAATTATCCCAAAATGTTAGGGATTTTGTCTCTATCAATTGATAGTTTTGAGTGGGACACATATCATAGTTTTGGCGACAATCTTTGCTCATCTGATCAAATACAATCATGGATCTGCAATAAAATCTTATTATACATGGATACAATCACCAGCTCTTCTCCACCTTCACTGCGTCTAAACTCCGCCTTCCTCCTCCTCGCTCCTGTGCACCCTCACTGCGAGGGGACAGAATTCTCTTTAATCAGAAAACCCACTTACATTTATTAAACGTATTATTATGAAGTCATTTGATGAAAACTGACCTCATATTAGTGGAGATATGTTCATAAATCCCAACTGGAAAGGTTTGTAGCGTCGCGAACTCAAACGCACATATAACAGACATATAACAATCATACGAACATTCAAACTAATCGTATCTATTGAGTCGTGTTGTGTACGACATAACACAATGCAAAAACAAACTATTTGCCGCCAGAGACATTTTACAGCATACCTCACCCCGACCTCACCTCAGAGAGTGGGATGTCTGACGCGTCGCGTCAAAAAAAAAAACAAAAAACGATCTTTGAAGAAACATGGCTGCCTGTGTGTGAATGTCATGCTGCTGTATCCACACCACTCCTTTGGCATGTGTCGATCACATTCTTTTGTTTGTAATGCATACATGAACTCGGGTTAGTTTTTGTATATTACAAAAGGTCGCTTAAATCGGAAAATCGCTGGGATAAGCAGCAGTCAATATAGAGTTAGCATTTTAGCTAACCTGCTAGCCTGACAGTCATGATGGAACCTGACTCACAGCTGCGAAATGTAAGTAAGATGAATTTTTCTGTTGTAATACACCATTGACCGCGTGAATAACCTTAAGCTTTTTGCAGCTGCGGGATTTTCTTCTCGTTTACAATCGCATGACTGAGATCTGCTTTCAGCGGTGCTCCAGCAACTTCAACTACCGAAGCCTCACCATGGACGAGGTCAGTAAATATTCGTCCCATGCATTTTTTTTTTACTCCGTGGATTCGTGTCAGTGTCTTGTAGGCCTACTGTTATGCTTGTATGTGTATATACTAAACTGTAAAGTGTAAATAATAGTAAATTGTACACACATATTCCACTTTCTACGTATTCGATAATGTACATTGATTTGGGAATTGTTACGTCACGTCAAATATGTAATTTTAATTACGCTGGTTAGTTTAGTAAACCTATGGATTTTTAACATATACACTACAGGAGTTAGTGTTCACTCAAATGTATACTGACCCTGCAGTTGTACTCATCCATAGTGGTCCTGCAGCTGAAGGAATACTGTTCTTTTGTTTACCTGTTTACTTGTTTTGGATAATCATGTTAATTCAAAGGAGTTGCTGCCTGCTTGCATCAAAGATAAGGCTGGGTCTTTGTTGAACCACACCTTGTGTAAAGTGAATATGAAACACAAACATTTTACTCATCATAACAGTGAAAATGTCAAATGTTTTGCAAGAACGAGTTTTCTTCCACTAAATGAGCAACAAAATTGTAGTGCTGTAACAAAATAAATTTGTAAAATATAAAAAAAACTCTTGCAATATATATCAATACAGCAGCCCACGATATCGATACTGTATCAGCACATTAAACAATGCAGTATATTAGTATTTTGATATTTTTGCACACCCCTAATTAGAGATGGCAGATTTTGCCAATAATGTTTGTTTTATGATGTTGAGTCTTATTCCTGACATCTACACACTTCTCTGAAACACTGTATGAAAATGCTCCTCCTTATTAAATGTGTTTGTGTTTACAGGAGCGCTGTGTGGACAACTGTGCTGGGAAGCTGATCCGTTCTAACCACCGCCTGATGGCCACTTATGTGAACCTCATGCCTCGTATGGTGCAGCGGCGCATGGAGGAGATGGAGAGCAAGGCAGCTGAAAATGCAAAACTAGAAGCTGCAGCCGCAGCATCGGCCAGTGTGGGACCTGAATCTCAAATGACAGCTCAGAACGCACTAGAACTGACCATGGACCAAAATGGACCATCACTTACACCTCTGACTGAAAATATGAACAATATTAGTGGGACCTCGGTTACTACAGGCGTAACTGGATCTCAAAATGTAGAATCAGCTCAGTCTGTTTATACACCACCAACACCCTTAGCTGAAGATGCCCCTCTGTCCACAGCTTCTGTCCCACAAGTGTCCACAGAAAAGCCAGCTGGCTCAGAGTGAGAATCTTAATGTGATGAATTTTAAATACTGGGACATTTTAAATAATGGATAGTAATAAATGCCTCATAGATAATAGTAAATAATCTTTGTCTGAATAAATGTTGCCTTTCATGTGAAACTAATTGGATTTTTTTTTATTTTGTATGATTAAAAACTGCAGTAGCTGTGAACATAGTCACACATAGATGTGCAAATCTTATAATAGTGCAATGGCATTCTACTACAGTCTGTTAAATTGCTATTCATAGTGATGGGGAAAGGCATGCATATCATTTGGGACCTTTGGTCCTAGTTGGAATTAGAAAAAGCTGTGTTTTATATATTCCTCAAAGTATGGTGCATTTAAAGCTCAACTGTCAACGGATGTCCTCTGGTTTGATGACTGCTGTTGGGTGTTGGCTCTGCATTGTGTTCTAGGTGTGAAGATGATGAACTTCATTGCATTAGTGCTACTTCCTGTCTTACCCTTTACATGGTGTGTGTACAATCTATGTAGTCGTCAGAGGGCAGCATTCCCATTGTCTGTGGTCTTAAGATCTTTATCTCAACTTTGGTTTAGGCCAGTCGAAGAAGTACAAACCACTAAATAACTTGGGTTTCTATTTTTGAGAGTCATACTTTTGGGGGAGCTGAACAGGCATAACACAGGAACTTTTTGTAGCATTGAAAAAAGCATTAGAAAAAGCTACATTTTAGATATTGGACTTCTCTCACTATACATCACTATAGTATTTTGTGCTCCAATTAAAGTTAATTTTGGAATCAGACTCAATATGAAGTAAAAAGAAAAAACAAAACTAAAACTTCAGATTAGTGCAATTTAGATTTACTTTCTGGTATATACAGTTGTCTGCCCTGCCTCAAAATGTATATAATGCAAAATGTAGGCTATAGAATCTAAACTGGATTGCAGTGGATGCAAGCCTATCAAATAATATAGATGGCAACAAAATACAACCTGTTTTCGTCATTTACACCTCCTGACCTGACCTTTGTGTTGCTTTTGAGTAGGCTACTATTTTAGAACGTAGCATATTCTTTGTGTAGTTGTGCATAGCGTCCACCAGGAGTCGTCGTAGCGCTGCGTGTTCTGGGGCATTGACGTCCGCAGCAGCGCGCACCCCCCTCGCTTTGCCAAGGCGCTCCTCTCCCTCGTAGCCCACATCAACTTTGAGGAGGAGCGGGGCGTGGACTTTTCTTGGTCTTCAGACTGTTGGAGACGGACTACTTTGAGGGGAAAAGGGACTATAGAGAAAGCGATAAATAAACAGCAGGTAAGACTTTTCTTTTGGTTAACTTGTTACATATTGACTGAAAGCTGCGTCGCTGCCCATCTACAATTTGACTTTTTGACGAAAGAGTTCATAGTAAGTGTATAGGCCAATCCGTCGGAGTTGGACGTTCATGGAAAGAATTGCTAATACACGCTCAGTCCGTAGGATTTTTATTATTGTTATTTTGTCTGGAGCCTGTTTTTTAAGAGGAATAGTTAAAGGCTTTGCTGAAGCAGTGTAACTGTTTTTATTTCATCCTCTACTAAAGAATTCCCGTTCCAATGGATGGATCTCCTTATACCATATAAGGAAAAACATAGGCGGCTACTTACTCACTTAGTCTGCTACTAGTCTGGTATTTACTATGAAGCAACAATACTTAAAAAAAATAATAAACCCGACCATTGGCAAATACAAGAGGTAATCATTTTCTAATTAGACATTACAATTATAGGCCTATTTAGTTTTGTTGTAACTTGCTTGCATTCAGTTAGTTTTCAGGGAATCCAGGACTACTAAAAGTAGAATAAAAAGTTGGTTATATTCAAACATTTACTCAGAGCACCATTTACTTTTTCACCAAGAGGTCTATGTCTATGGCGAATTTGACTGTATTATTGCATTCTCTATTTCACTAAGAACAATACACAAAATGTATTCTTATGATTATAGGTTTAATAATAGTGCTAAGCCTCTTGTGTTGGACTATTTCCCACCTTCAGACTCTTAAACAAACTAGATGCCTAGAGTTGCCATTGCTATGATATGAAGTTACATTCACTCAACACCTATTCCAGGCTACATGATATCAAGACTTGAGACAGGAGTGGTGACCAGCCCAGAGAGGAAGTCTTGAGTTTAAACATGGATGACATCTTCACTCAGTGTCGAGAGGGGAACTCTGTAGCTGTCCGACTTTGGCTGGACAACACAGAAAATGACCTCAACCTGGGGTAAGTGTGTTGTATCTGCCCTCTCTAGTGCTAGGATACTGAGCTTTGAACATGAGAGAGCTGCTGTCGTGTCCCTGATATGTAGGTGTAAGCTCCAGCAACAATGATAAAGGAAGAGTAAAGGAAGAGTATGTAAGATTTTTATTTTAAATTCCATCAAACTGACCTCGCTGTCCCCAGATACAAGGCAGACATGTAAAGATGAAATATTGCTTTTACTGGTAACATTTGAAATGCTGATTTGATTTTTAATTGCAAAAACATTAATGGCCAATTTTGTTTTGTTTTGTTTCTAAAAATGTTTATCAGAAAGCAAAATTAGCTTCTCATTTGGGTTATCAGTTTCAGTGCTAAAATCTTAAAGGACTCTGATCTGAATCCTCACTATCAAAATCCCAGCTCCTACAGCCAATCTTTAATCAGTGCTAGTGCAGCCTCTGCAGCTCAGTGAGTGAATTTTGGAGGTTCTGAGCTTGGCCTGAGGCATGGCCTGCTCATACTGACAATGAGAACAACTTGAATTTGTCCTCTATAGGTTAAGGCACAAGGAAGCACAGGTTTACTTGTGAGTGTAGTTCTTTTTTAAAACTGTAAGAGCACAAGCTACATACCTGCTTTATGAATCAATGCATGGACATTTTCTAGGTTGAATGATTCCAAAGAACTTGCATGTAGCTGCAAATAAATGCAGAGTGTTGTAATATGTTGCCTTAGGGCATACTTTTCCTGAGGTTTTTGATTTGTCTATAACACGTCAAATTGGCTACATATGACTTTCTTAGAGCGAGGTCTTTGGCATATTTAATGTTTAAAAATAGTTTCCTTCGGTTGAGCTCCAGTTGTTTTATAAGTTTTCCATTTTTATGATGTCATCTCCCAAAACTGTGCATGTGTAAAAAGCAGTGTGGTAATTTATGGAGTTTGTGGGCTGTGACTCAGTGCAGCAGACTAATGTCCAGGCTTCAGTTTTACCAGACTGGAAAAGCGCTGTTTAAAGCATTAACCTAAAATGAACTGAAAATGTCTTTTAAACACAAAAGGCATTAGCTTTAGTATTTTTAAATGGAAAATACAACCAACTTCTTTTGGGTAGTGCTAGAGTGAAATGGTACAAACACTTTATTGAAGAGCATAAAATAATATAGTAATAACAATAACAAGTAAAAGACATTCCACTACATTATGAGAATGTGGTAAGGTACAGTGAGTATTTTAGGAGCAGAAGGGCATTCAGCCACAATTCCATCAGTGTGCCAACAGCTGTAAATGCATATGAAAGCCCAGGAAGATTAATATTTGTTTTTAACATAACCATGCATCTTTCAGTATCAATGGATTTCAGAGTGATGAAAAATTAGCATCATAGCAATTACTAATTCAAAACAAAATATCCTGTCTTTTGAGTGAAAAGTGAAAAGCAATGTTGAGACTGCAAGGGTGCATTGGGGTGCACCATCATGTCAAAATGTTCCTCCTCCTTCGAAGCAGGTTAAAAAATGGCACCTAATGGAAGCTTACTGTACTTGAACCTCACCCTCAGTCAAAAATGCCTATAAACAGGAAGCTGAAACCCTTGAGTACCTGACCTACAATGACCTAAAACATTTTATTAATAGTCAGTTATTTGTATAATCCACAGCCTTGGTGGAAGATGGGCTGAAGACTGTTTACATTACTCCCTTCTTAGGAAGCCGCTCAGAAAGACCTCACTGTGAAACTCCTGATTATCTCATTCTTGGGCAGGTCCTTATATGTGCAGTGTGTTGACGTTGACTTTGAGCGCTGCAGAGTCTCCAGCCAACCACAGTGTAGCCAAAGCCATTTCCTCTGCTCAGCTCCATACAGGGACTGGCCCTCGTACTCCCATATAAACATCATTATGCAGTCATTCCGTAGGGGGCTGCTTTGTTTGTGGCTTCAAGTATGTGGCCTGAAAGATCTCTAATTCTAAGAAAGAAAAAGTGTTTATCAAGCAAAAACTATTTGGGGATAACTTAGAACTGTCTCACTTCTAGGGCTGAATATTTTTTTTACTAGGAACTGTAATAGCTAATTCTGGTCATAGATTGAAAAACTTAAAAAAAGAGAGAGAGAAAGAGAGTAAGTAATGGGCTAAATTGAACTCTGCACACTTTTCAATGTGTGGGAAAATATGGTAAAATAGCTCCCACTTGTAAATATTTTAGAGGTTTCTGGCTCTGTCCCAAAAGGCTGTTTGTGAATTTGACACAGGAAGGCGCAGGGAGGAGGAAAGGGAATGTGGGTGAGGATTCCACCAAGCATTTTCCGCTATGTCATTCCTGAGTTTTTTCCCTGATACTTTAAATAGAGCTTTGCAAGTACTATCTGTCTGTTGTGAAAAGCTCAAAATGCTCATAACTGATAACTGGTAAAGAGAGCTGTATATATTATACTTTGACTTTAATCTTACTTAATTAGTCCATTAGCTTTTATCTCTATATATATTATCCATTTGAGCTACGTTTTTGCTTCCCATTGATGTAGACTTGGTTCGGTCCTGCTCTAGTCCTGGTTTTGTTTCAGGTTTACGTGTATGTGTGAAGTCTTTGGTTGTCTCTCAACAACAGATGAACCTAAAAAACACAGAAAAGGTGAGAGCTTCAGATGGTTCTCTTAGTGAAAAAATCGGAAATGCTCCTTTCAAACATTATCAAACAGTGAAAATTACCATGCTTGTAGTATAAACATCTAAAAAGTGGTTGAAAACATCCAAGGTACTCTATGAAGGTAAAAGTCCTTTATTGCTTACATGGGACAAGCAAAGTGAATGTCAGGAATCAGGACACAATTTGGCTGGTGGGCTTGCACAGAAACTTTGTATATCAGATGACACAACTACTGTGTGTGTGGTTTGGTATTTGACACTGATGTTCTGACACTCCCTATCTCCTAATCTTTATTTAGACTTCAGCATGAGCTTTTTATTGCGACCTGCAGTCCTACTCCCATCTGACAACTGCTTAGTGATAAATATGTCTGCGCGGGACAGGAATGCTAGCTAACATGTGCAGAGGTCCAAACACACACGGTACACAGAGGCTTAGGGCAGTCTACAAGGAGTCAACCTCTCACCCAAGTGCCACTGGCCTCTTCACCCACAATATACTTTACATTAGCTGACCCCAAAACAGTTCAGGGGGTTTCTTGCAACTTCCTGCAAAGCCACAAATTCAACACCATTGCCCTGACTGCTTGTACAGCCCATAGTAAATAACCAATTTGGGATAAAGCTGCAAAGGCTGATAAAGTGGCTAAAATCTAAATGTAAAAAGGTTTACTTCAAAATTTCACCCTTTATGTTGCTTTCAGTAGCCAAAAACAAGGATCTTTCTGATACAATAATCCACAATCTAGTATCTCAAAATTTGCATAATGGTCTCTGCAAAACTCTGAAATCCAAGACAAATTCATTAAATATTTACCTGCTCATAAATCAAATTTGACAAATATCCATGTTTATTTGTTATTGTTCATTTCCAGTGATGACCACGGCTTCAGCCCTCTGCACTGGGCGTGCCGAGAGGGCAGGAGTGGGGTGGTGGACATGCTGATCATGAGAGGAGCTCGGATCAATGTGATGAACAGAGGAGATGATACGCCACTGCACCTTGCTGCCAGCCATGGACACAGAGATATAGTGGCTAAGGTACACACTGAAATGATATAATAAACTATCAGTAGGTCTTCTGTTATCTTGTAGTAATCTAATGTGCTCCCTTTGTAAATCACAGCTAATTCAGTGCAAAGCAGACCCCAATACAGTTAATGAACATGGCAACACACCTCTGCATTATGCTTGCTTCTGGGGACAAGACCAAGTGGCAGAGGTACTGTATCTCACATATACTTTGTCTACACATTTTCACACTTTTAAGATTCAGTAAATCTTAAAATTATGAACCTCCTGGCCTACATTTTTTTCCTAACTGTCATAACTTGAATTTTTGATATATAGCTTGTCCATTGTTTTGTCCACAATTGCCCTCTTGTGGTGAAAATGCAGTATTTTCAATACCCAGTTCCATTTCCTTTTGCATTTATTTAAGTAGCTACATCCACATACAATAAACAAATACTATTGCTGTTGTTTTCCATAGGATTTGGTTGCCAGTGGTGCTCAAGTGTGCATATGTAACAGATACGGACAAACACCTTTGGACAAAGCCAAACCTCACCTAAGACAAATCCTTCAGGGTAAAAAATAATTCATTACAGTTTTGTAGTTCTAGTGAATATTAGCCACTTGCATTTACTGACATTAATGTTTTTACTCAGAAAAGGCTGAAAAACTGGGCCAGAACATGACCAAAATCCCCTATAAGGAAACTTTCTGGAAAGGGACTATGAGGACACGACCTCGTGAGTATCTTTTCCCTCAGAAATAATGCACGTCATATTATAATGTGTGCTTTGACAGCTGTTTTGATTTTGTAGGTAACGGTACTTTGAACAAACAGGCTGGTATAGATTATAAACAGCTCTCACTTTTGGCCAAGATCAATGAAAACCAGTCTGGAGAGGTCAGTACTCCTCCAAACACCCATACATCTGTTTCTCATATATTGTATATCACTCTTTTGTTTTGTCTGCAGTTGTGGCAGGGCCGGTGGCAGGGAGATGAGATCATAGTAAAGGTCCTACATGTGAGGGACTGGACGACCAGGAAGAGCAGAGATTTTAATGAGGAACATCCAAAACTCAGGTACTCTCCACTGCTGACTGAAACAATAACATTACCAAAAAAAATGAAAGGTGTCCATGCTGAAATATTATATTACCCTTCAACTTTAAGTGAAAGCTCTTAAATCCAATAACTCAGAGTAATTTGATGCTGGTTTCACAGTGTTCAACTTTATAGCCTTCATTCCTCACAAGTATTACTGCACAATGCTCAATGAATAGTGCTAACATATTGCTGTTTACCCATTGTTTAAATGCACATTAGTGACAAATAGAAAAAAGTGAAAGAATGACAGCACCATTAACCTCATTAAATTCCATACATATATATCAATGCGAAAATGTGACTGTATTTCTTATTGTTTGTAGGATCTTTTCTCATCCAAATATCCTTCCTGTCCTGGGTGCGTGTCAGTCACCTCCATCTCCTCATCCTATCATTATTACACACTATATGCCATATGGGTCCCTCTTTAACATCTTACACCAGGGCACAAGTGAGTACAGTAATCAAACTGATGATTACACTGATTTATATGTATTACACTTGTATTTTCACTATATATTTGTTTTCTCTTTAGCTCTTGTCGTTGACCAAAGCCAAGCTGTAAAATTTGCATTGGACATTGCAAGTGGCATGGCTTTCCTCCATACCTTAGAGCCAATGGTTTCCCGACTGTATCTTAACAGTAAGCATGTTATGGTAAGTGAATTAAATATAATACTAATATGCAGACAACAATAGTAGAAATTGTGATTTTGACTTCCCTTTGTGCTTCCTCTGTACGCTTCTCATGCATGTATATTTGTTAATTTATATCTTGTCATGTATATTTATTAAGACTGCTTCATTATGTAACAATACACTTTATTTTTTTATTTTAGTTTGAAATGAAGAAACAAATCCCAACTATTCTATTGTGTTCTTTACAGATTGATGAAGACATGACAGCCAGAATCAGCATGTCCGATGCCAAGTTCTCTTTTCAGTGCCCGGGCCGTATGTATTCTCCTGCTTGGATGGCCCCTGAAGGTATCTGTCTGCCTGTCCAGATCTTGTGTTTAGACCTCATGAGTCATCCAGCAAGAACATAGTGTACTATATAATTTAGCTCAAAGCTGTGGTATGCCATCTATAGTATTGTGAAAATGTTAAGTGAGAATTTGTATAGGCCCTAATATTGACATACAAAAATATACATTTGCTAAAACTAAATTGCAATACAAAGGGAAGGCTTACTGCTTGGTACTTAATACTAATTTCATTACCACAAACATAATTAAGAATGTTATTTTTATGCAAATAAAAGTTTGGTTTTGGATAAAAACTATACTAACTATTCAGGAAAGGGTTGAGATACATAGCAAAGATGCTGATCTTTGGTTTAAGGGTTTTGCCGCTGTTGTTGAATAGAATAAAAATTTTATCCTGAACAAAATGTATAGTCCACATTGGAACTGGATTACTGGAAGTGAAGTGAATCTTGTGTTATGTGGCTTAGCATTGCCTTTTCGGTTCATTATTGAAACATTTATATGTGTACTTTCAGCTTTACAGAAGAGGCCCGAGGATATCAACAGAAGGTCTGCTGATATGTGGAGTTTTGCAGTGTTACTGTGGGAGCTGGTGACAAGGGAGGTCCCATTTGCTGACCTTTCAAATATGGAGATTGGCATGAAGGTACACATCAAACATAAACAGTTTCCTCTGTTAAAAATAACAAACATCGTTGCCCTCATCAGACTTCAAAATATTTTGAATTTGAATCTCTGCTCGTAGGTAGCTCTGGAGGGACTTCGACCAACAATTCCACCTGGTATTTCTCCTCATATTTGTAAACTGATGAGGCTCTGCATGAACGAGGACCCTGCTAAGAGACCCAAGTTTGACATGATCGTGCCCATCCTGGAGAAGATGCAAGACAAATGAATGCCTCTTATTTTTGTATGCAAACCACTCTTCACTTTTCATGCATTTGCTAAGCCACTGTAAATATATGGATCATGCCAGAGACCACTTCAGCAGCCACGTTATATTGCTTTTCTTATCATATTTAAAACTGAGATAAAATATGTTTTAAAGCCAACTTATTTCTTTTATTATGGTTTTAACATCAGTGTGAACTTTTTAAGACTGAACAGCAAACCAAAGAAATGTGTAAACAATCTTTAATGCAATAAATATTTTATATTTATACTCTTGTTTACTTTTTGTTTTCTCTGCTATAAACAATTATCTAGCCATAATGCAGCTGCAAAAGTACAAATAAACACATATATAGCTTAAATTTCGCAATGCCTTGACTACATTATAATGTTGACATTTATGAATAACAATGTACAAAATGTACTTGTATTGGGTTTAGCAAAGTTAATAGAAACGCGGTTTACTCATTTGCAGGCGTGTTTACGATTCTTATAGTGTCAGGACTTGCTTTATGGAGAAATGAGTTTGGGAGGGAGGAACACTGACCACGTGACCTGTCAGCTGACCGCTGTGTGTTTCAGAACAACCGGAAAAGTACAAACACAAGATAACAGCGGACAGTCGCGGTCGGTCTTATTGTTATGAAAACTTTTACGGAGACCTGTTATTTGTTTGCACACACTTTCCC